TCTCGAAAGTATTTTTAAAGAAAGACACATTAATTTTTTTCTAAAAACTCTTCTAACTACGTAGATAAGCACTTTCATAAAATTGATCAAACTAGTCCAAAAGTTATTTTTGAGTCTCAAAAATTTCTTCTAACTTTTTAAAAGTCATGACAAACAGACTATTAATTTGAAGTAGTGATCATCCCAAGCTCCATAATTGAATACAATTAGAAAACGGACCAAATTAATCGACTTGGTTTTTTAAATATAATTTTAAATGGTTTTGGTTTTAAAATCGAGTTAATTTTACAAATAGTTGGTGCAAAATTCAAAGATTATAATTAAATTTGGTGGCATAAATTTAGCTGAACAATAATGAAGGACAGCAAGATAAGGGACTGCTGATTCATCAGTTGAGCTGGAGCAAGCTCATGTGGGAGTAAGCTAATGTGGTGATTTAATTCTTAATACCCCCTTCAAGCTGGAAGGTGCCAAGGTAACTCCAAACTTGTCCTTGAAGAAAAGAAATCTTGAGTGATTCAAACATTTGGTTAATAGGTCTGCAATTGCTAGACTACTTCCGTGTATAGAGTTTTCCAGTTCCTTTGCAAGTACTTTGTCTCTAATAAAATGGATGTCCAATTCCATGTGTTTTGTTCTGGCATTATACATTGGGGTTGCTGCTAAAGTACCTGCACCTATGTTATCACACCATAGAATTGGAGTCGATGCTGGTGTGAGTTCCAGTTCTTGGAATAATGATTGAATCTAAGCTATTTCTGAAGAGATTGATACAAGGGCTCTGTATTCTGACCCTGTACTTGACTGAGCCACTACATGTTGTTTCTTTGAGGACCAGACTATTAAGTTATCTCCCAAGTAAATGCAATAGCCTGTTGTTGATCTTCTATCATCCGGACAGGAAGCCCAATCTGCATCTAAGTATCCATTCAAATTTAATCTATCACTTATTTGAATCCACAACCCTTGATTCATTGTTCCTTTAAGATATCTCAATACTCTCTTCAGTGCCGGCCAGTGTATGGATGTTGGTGATTGCAAAAACTGTCTAGCCTGGTGTGCGTGAGGTATTGTAGTCCTCCGACTGCACTTCTATAAATTGAGGGATCCTCCAATACTTCCCCATCAGTTTTGGACATTGTTTTGCCAGCAGGAATAGGTGTAGGATGAGGTTTCAAGTTCTGTAGCTCAAATTTCTTGAGTAGATCAGCAATATACCTTGTCTGTGTAAGATGAAGTCCTGACTCATGCCATAGTACTTCCAGTCTCCCCATGTCTTTTAGTGCAAATTTTTTGTTGAATGTATTTATGAATCCTTGCAGTAATTCATTGTCATTACATGACACAACGATGTTGTCCACATAGATGAGTGCGAAGATTATCTGGCTTTCATTCTTGAAGTAAAATAGTGATGTATCTGCCACAGATTGCTTGAATTTTCAACTTAAGAATGTTGTTTTTAACTTGAACATCATGTCACAGGCACTAATATCTATAAATGTCGCCTCGCTTCTGTAGCCTTCATGATACTGGCCATGTCGGGCAAGGCGTAATCCTTCTTCTT